AATGAGCATGCCTGTTTATGTGTTAAAGACAGATGGAGAAGGATAAAGAAGAGGGATGATTAAATGGAGATGGAAAATAGATTGACATTTAAATGTTCTTCCTTTCCAATGTTCATCCTGCCTCCCTCCCATTTGAGTGTGCTGAGATGAAGGAGATAGTAGAGACAGTCCCATTCATCTCTGGTATTCCTAAAGGTCCATTAGGGGTTGGGATTCTGCTTCCCAAATGTGGAGTAAAACATGATGCCCAAACAAGAACGAGGTGGAGTGATTTTTCTCTCACAGTGAAGAGCCACACAGTACTCATCATTCATTCATCATCCTATGTGGGCACAGCCCATTCTCTTCAAGCGCCTCTGTGAGCACTCTGGTTTCTGTCTATACGAATGTGTATATCCACATGTGTGTCACTTTATGAATTGATGAGAGGGTAGAGAGACATTAGAGAGGATAATGACCTTTAGCTAGACCTGTAGATAAGACAGAGGTGAGTAGGAGGCAAGTACCTAAGGAATGGGTCAAAATATTTAAGTTAAAAAAAATCTATAAAGGAACAGGTCCTCTAGTAGCTGTGGAATGTGTATGTGTATGCTATCCCAAGATGAATCTCTCATTTTATACTTCAGTGTACATTTTTAAAGAGTCTGTAGTTAAATAAGGAAGGAACAGTGTGTAGAGGTGCATCCGGAGTGCCGTGAACCATAAGTGCGTGCTTGTTTTCAGAGGGTGCCCTTATGGAGAATTCATCGGGGAAGTCCGGGTCACAGCGAGTTCTTCCAGGTCACGCTGTGGTCACCACCTGTGCTGCACCGACACACAATCCAGTTCTGCCTTTCCATCAACTGCTTGTAGAGATTCTAACCCTGCACATCTTGCAGGAATTGACTGTGGTGCACCTCCTGCATTTCTTCTCTGCCCCATGTCTCAGGCCATTGCAACACTTTATCTCTCTGCAAAAAGCCATTTCAAATTGTGTAGGAAAGAAACCCTGCAGTTTGGGTACCAGTTATTTTTTTTAATAAATGTAACAAGATACAATCATCAGATTATATCAGTGCAAGAACATTTTTTCAAAGAGTAATAAGTCATTTCTCCGTTAATGCCAGCAGGCCACAAGGATGGTCTATATCATCCCCCAACATGGTAGAAGACAAACCTCGGGCAGTGCAGAATAAACTCTCACCCTTCCAAGTCACTCCCCAAAAAGCCTGAACCACCTCCTTCCAGATCCTCCATTACTCCCCTGGGTCAGGGGCACAGGGTTTAGCTCTTTCACAGGTGTCTCTGCCATGCAGCCCTGCAGGCACAGAGGTCATCGGCCATGTCATCTGCACACACACCCCAGTCACTGGCAGCAACAGCATGGAGGGACCAGCAGCAGCCAGAACGCTGAAAAGGAGCAGAACGGTTAGAAATCTCTGCTTCTGATCTCTCTTACTGGGAGGTGGATATTTTAGGAGGTGAGATAAGCATTATATAGAAAATTACTGCTATAGTCCACCAAGAAAGGTGAATGTACCTTCCAAGGTCACAGCTTGGGGAGCAGTGACTGGGCCCCAGCATTTGTTCCATAACTATCAACAGGGTGGTGATATAAAGTAAAACCAGATGCGTGAATATAGGGGGATTCCAGAGCTCACGTAGACACTGCAGTCTACCTAAACGTTTTCCTCTCTGACCTCTCTCTCATCAAGCTGGAGTCTGAGGCAGGAACTTGGAAGCATTAGTCATGCAGGTTGGAGAAGACATAACTGACAGTGCCTGGTTGTGACACCAGGAATTTCTTCTCCACCACACTGGGTTCACTAGATCCAAGTGTCAACTCCTTACAGAATCTCACATTTTTTAAAAGTCTGCTTATCAATCTGTCTGTACATTTACCTACATACCTACTTCAGAAACAAAGTGTCCAAAAGAGGGAGAGAGGCCGGCGCCACGGCTCACTAGGCTAATCCTCCACCTGCGGCGCCAGCACCCCGGGTTCTAGTCCTGGTTGGGGCACTGGATTCTGTCCCAGTTGCTCCTCTTCCAGGCCAGCTCTCTGCTCTGGCCAGGGAGTGCAGTGGACGATGGCCCAAGTGCTTGGGCCCTGCACCCCATGGGAGACCAGGAGAAGCACCTGGCTCCTGGCTTCAGATCAGCGCAGTGCGCTGGCCACAGCATGCAGGCCGTATGGGCCATTCAGGGGGTGAACCAACAAAAAGGAAGACCTTTCGCTCTGTCTCTCTCTCACTGTCTAGCTCTGCCTGTCAAAAAAAAAAAAAAAGAGGGAGAGAGAGATCTTCTATTGCCCAGTTCACTCCCCAAATGCCTATAACAGCCAGGGTTGGGTCAGGCAGAATCTAGGAGCCCAAACTCCATTCACCTCTGAGATTGAGCATTAGCAGGAGGTAGATCAGAAGCAGAGACAGGATCCAATCCCGGCACTCTGACAGGGTACCCAGGTCTCCCAGGTTACAGCTTTACCCACCGCAGCACAATGTCCATCCCAGAATTTCACATTTATTTTCAGGAAACATTTTGCTTCCCTTAAATTAAATATAGTTAAGTTTCCTTTGCCATGAGTTATAGCAGTTTTAGTTTCATCAGCATATTCCTTCTAAATACTCATTATATTAAATATAATTGGTACCCAGGGGCTATTGAGATATTCCTCTCACCATGTGCAAAATGAAGAAAATGAGAGTGCCCTCTGAAAGCTGGACTTTGAAATTCCATTCAGATCTCTCTAAAATGAGCCCTCTTACACACCCAAGTGCACGGCCACATACACACATAACCCTTGAAATTATCTTTGTGTACAGAAGCACACCCATCTCTTCTTCCCTAAATCCTCTAAGGCTCAATGAGCTGGATCCGACAGGTACTGAACTGAGCTGCCGAGCATTGCTGCTTAGCTGGCCAGACAGCAGGATGCAACTTCATTAGATATTTCTTGTTGTTCAGAGACAGATATGCTGTTAAGAACCACAACTCTAGTGTATCTCATACAACAGGACTCGGGCAAGACCCTGATATTCTTTGAGCCAGGATTCCCTTAATCCATTAATTGGGGGACATGGCTGACTGCACAGCCCAAAAGAGGTGATGCGTACAAATGGCGATCATAGATTCTGTCACTCACGCAGTCCATCAACAGTGAGCTATGAGTACAGTGTATTTCCCCTGCTGGAAAGAATAAAAACTCTCTTCCAGTAATGTGACTTTCCATCCCAGCTCTGACACTAATCAGTGAGAAGACTTTACAGAAAATCAGTCCGCACCTGTTTCCTAATCTCCCAAATGGGGCTACCAGTAGGAATACAGTAAAGATAAGACACAAAGAAACATGAAGTATCATACAGAACCAGAGTATTACATTATTCTTTATAATTCTAAGACTACTTCAAAAGTTCATGGAAAAATGGAACTCATATTACTGTGGCACAAAATAATTTTGAAATCCATGTAGGTTTTCTTTCATATTACACATGTTCCACCTACTTTGGGAGGTATCCTCTTAAAATAAAAATAAATGTCTAAATGGATCTCAATACCATCTCGACTGGAGGCCACACAAAATACAAGACTATTCCCCACTCTGCTTTTCTCCATAGGTAAAGGGCCAATCAGAGACAGTAGATGTCATTTCCTTCCTCCCGACCTCCTACTGCACCAAATCTGGTCAATTCTGCCTATAAATACCTCTGTTTTCTCTGCCTCTTCACTTTTACCACAGCCTCCTGGCACAGACCCCTGTCATTTGCTACCTTGGCCACTGTGACTGCGATTCAAGCTCACTCTGGGCCATTCTCTATATAGAATGATATCCCAAATAGAACTCCAGGCATGCCACACCCAATTAAATCTCTTTAGCAACCTCCCATTGAGAGACTTGGGATGAATCCAAAACCTCTCGGTGGGACCTCAGCCAGCATCTCTTGTTTCTTCCGCTATTTCTAGCACGGGCTAAACATTAACAATTTGGAGAGCATCACTCTCAGCTAGCTCCGCATTCCACGTGTGTTCTCACTGATGGAAACTTTTCTCCTCTTCCTAAGTGAGCTCCTCCCCCCTCAACTCTCAGTTGAAACTCCACTCCCTCCACAAAGATTTCTGTGTTGCCACATGCGGTCAAGGACCCTCACCCCAAATGGCATCATTGTCACTGCTCCCAACATAACCTCTAACAAACTTGTGAGTTGGAAAGATATCTAGTGGAAATACAGATTTTGGTTCCTTGACCACGAGCCCCCTCCTTACTCACAAAGAGCACACATAGACAATCTAGAAACATTTGCTAAATCTGTAACCCCAAGGGCAAGTGCACAACTCAATGGTGTCTTGCGTGCTTACTTTGAAATGAGTAGCCTTGGACATGTTTTTACCTTTTTCAGTAATTCTGAGAAAGAAAATAAACAATTTCTCATCTGATCCATGTCATCCCTCCTCCCCAACCCTGTAACACTTGAAGTCGGCTTTCATTGTACCCTCCACTGAGGTAGCAACTCAATTTCCATCACACATATTCAGATATAGGATCTATAACAACTTGAAGGCTGACAGTGAAAAACATAGTTGACAAAATATCTCTCTCTTGGGATCAAATTCACACTCACCCTCATCAGCAGCTACTAGACATGGAAGATTCCATCCCTCTCCAGAATCCTTAGAGCCAAAATAACCACCAGAGCACAGAACTCCCAGGACGGTGGCAGGACCAGGACCAAGGATTCTGGCCAGGCATCTGTGGCACCCAAGCTAAATTCACCCCTTGAAAAGCATACAACTGCATTCCCTTGGAGAAATATTGGATCGACCTCTCCACGATTCCTGGCATGTCTTGTCCCACTGTATTCTCCCCACTCCCTAAATTCCAGGATGGCAGACCTCCATCATTTTGTGTCTCCCTGCAGAGGGAAGGGACACCATAGGGCATGCAAAATAAATAAATAAATAAATAAATAAGAATAAGAATAAGAATTAGAATTAGAATTAGAATTAGAATGGAGTGACTTTCACAGATCACAAGCCGTGTCCAGGAGAGGCAGCAGCAGGCAGCGGGAGCACAGGAGCCTGAGCTGGAGGCTTACCTGGCCGTGCTGTGCCCCACAGTGACACTTCTGAGGCCACCCAGGAGGCACAGCTGGCTGCACCAAACCTGGCTCCCGTCACCCTCACAGGTGGCTGCTCTGTGACTCCCCATTGCCCACGGTGTGTATCTTTTTTCCTTTATCTTATCAACTAAAGAATTGGAAAGACATTTTGCCTGAAGGAAAGCACTGAGGAAGCTCACAGTAATACAATTTGAAGGACACCTGTATACTGGAATTTTTGCCTCACCCGTCTGGCGTCTCCTCTGGCTGCCCTTCTGAAACGTGCGCTCCGAAAGGACCCGTATGGTGGTGCTTTCCCTCAACAGCACCCCCAGGAGAAGAAAATAGTATTTTTACAACATCAGTTGTGAAAGTTGGGCTGAGACAATTTAGAACATTTTGGCTGCTTTTCACATTGACTTCAATAGAGGAATAAATCGAAACTAGATCTCCATCAGCAAGAAAGAAGTATTTGACAAATTATTTGTAAGTACTGGGAACACAATATTTCTATTTTGTGGCTAATAATGTTTGTTAGATATGTTTCCCACTGCTCAGTATCATTAATTTTTACTTTATTACTTCTTGGGTTACTACGCTTATTATGGCTTACTTTATGGATTTTTAAAGAGCTGATTATGTAGTTTTTCAGTTAATTAGGTCACTTTGTAATGCTAGAATATAAAAGGCATTTGGAAAACAATAAAGGAAAACATTTCTTATGTGTTATGACAATCAAATAAATCATTTAATAATTAGATTTCTTAGAAAAATATAAAATGTCATCTATTATTTTTCATAGTTTGATGAGTTGCTAAACATAACATATTAATTCATTAATGTCCCTGAAAAGAAATTAAGACTTCAGTTATTCCAGTAAGAAGACATATAATTTACCTAAAATTTGTAGCAAACATATTATGGGATGTCTACCTAGACCAGCTGTCTCTATTCCAGAAACATCCCCTACCAGGGTGGCTGTTCAGCAGAGTAGTTTTAAAAAGATGATAAAGACTCCCAGGTCCCAGGCTGGAGTACCTGGTTCAAGTCCCAGCTCTGGTTCCTCCTCTATCTTCGCGCCAATACAGACTCTTGGAGGCAACAGTGATGGCTCAAGTAATGAGGACCCTGCTGTCCACACAGAAGACCTAGACTGAGTTCCTAGCTCCTGGCTTCTGCCTTGACCCAGGCCTACCCCTTGTAGGCATTTGGAGAGTGAACCAGCCGTTGGAAATGCTCTCTCATTCTCTCTATGTATAGACTGAAAGTGTGAGCTTGGACATCTGAATTGAGATTGCAGGACCTGATCTTCCTGACCAGAATCAATTGAGCTGGGAGCAGACATCTGACTCGACAAGGTCTCACCCACACACTAGACTGGGTCAGCTGGGTCTCAGAAACACATTGAAGACAGAGGGCTAGGAGACACCTATGGAATTCCACTAAAGTTGCAGACCAGAGTGGTATTTTGGGTCGTGTGAGTTTTGAGTGTATGAAAGAAAAAAACAATCATCAAAGAGATGCAGAAAAATAGAACAGCTATCAAGAGAAAAGCAGAGATGGGAAAACACATCATTTGAAAGAACAATGCAAAACAGGAAGAACTTCTCAGTCCTCTGATCAAGGATATGGATCCACATTTTACCCCAAGCATGATATATACCCACATCCCCCTGTTTTAGGGGACAGATATATGCTTCATTTCCTTGAAGTCCCCCTCCTTTTTTTTTTTTTTTTCCAAATTTCATTTAAACTAGATCAAGTGAATGCCTCTTGTTTGCAAACCATCCCTGGTTAAACCAGCACATGCACACACACACACACACACACACACACGCATTCCTGCATATGGTGGACGCCTTCCCCTGAATGAAGTTATTGTTTGAAAACCAAGGGCATGTAAAGAAAATTTACACTTGGATTCAAATTGATGCTACAGCATTGCCCTAAACAGGGTAAAACCTTTTGTACCAATAATTTTCTTTAGACTTTGTTTCTATTTATTCTAAAGTCAGAGTGGGAATGAGAGGAGGAGAGACAGAGAACAGATACACATACACACATACACACACAGAGAAGGGGGGGGGGGAGAGGGAGAGATTCCATCTGCTGTTTCACTCCCCAGGTGACAGTCACAGCGAGGGCTAGGCTAGGCAAAAGCCAAAATCCAGGAACCCCACCTGGGTCTCCCACATGGATGGCAGGGGTCCAAATAGGACCATCTTTCGCTGCCTTCCCAGGCACAGAAGCAGGGAGCTGGATCAGAAGCAGTGTAGCAAGGACTCCAACAGACACTCTGAAACAGGGTGCTAGTGTTGCAAGCAGCAGCTTAACCCACTGTACCACAATGTGGGTCCCTGGACTACTTTCCTCTATCATTTACAAGAGTCGAGCACAGCTTCATGGATCAGATCATGAAAAGATGGATCTGGGAGTGTGTGGTCATTAACCAGCTCATGAAAGTTCCAATTTGTCGCATTTGATGTTTCGGTCATGTAAATATCCCCACTGTGTCCAATTTCATGCTACCAAGGTAACATCCATGAACCTGGCGCTGAGAAGAGATGGCAGCCCCCAGCTCACACAAAGTCCATGCAAGCTAGCTCCTCACACCTCGGTAAGGGCTCAAGCATCAGCATTGCAAGGCAACCCCACAGAATCACAAAGTGGCACAGCCTGGATTCCAGTCCTGGGGCCTGATTTAGACAACCCTATCAGAGTCCTCGATTCCAGTCCTGGGGCCTGATTTAGACAACCCTATCAGAGTATTCCATGCACATCACAGTAGAAGTCAGCAGGGCGCTAGGACAAACTGCCACAGGCTGTCCGGGTAGTTGAAATAACAGTCATCCACTCCTTATAGTTTTAGGGGGCTGGAAAGCCCGAGGTAGACACCCCAGAGATCCGGTATCTGCAGAGGGCGCAGTTCCTGTTTTGTACGTCACTTCTTGGAGATTCAGGAGGCAGAGGGAGAAAGACCTCCCTACTCTGACATCCTGACCTAATTACCTCATGAAAGCCCCATACCTCCTAACACTTACATTAGGAGCTTGGACTTCAACATACATTTGGGGTCGGGCAGAAATACTCAGTCCATAGCATCTACTGATTTTTAATTCTGTACAGCAAAATCATCCAATCCTCCCAAATTGGAAACTAGGAACATGCAAATTAAGATATGCCTAGCATTCACCTTTCTGACTTTTGTAACTTCTATCAAAGTCCAAAAACACTGTCTATTGGTTTCAAGGGAACCAAGATCCTAAAACTAAGTATATAGTATCTTATCGATAATTTCTTAATTTTTTACATATACTTTACACTATATCCTTACCACGCCTCCACTCTTCACCTGCATTTCAATAGACTCATTACAGCATCCCTCACAAGAAAATTGGTGTTTCTGAATGTAGCACGCTCTGCTTCCCTCCGAACTTTGGCAGAATCTATTCCCACACTTCTTAGTAAAGTTTTACTCACTCTTTAAGTCCTACAAAAATGGCAACATATCCATGAATCCTGGTCAAATTTCTCAGTCTGAGTCAGCCTTTACTTTCTTGAGTTTAAAACAGATCTTTTAGATATCCAGGGTCACTTTAAAATGTTCATGGAAAAAATGGAATTTAAGATAAATTTATTTTAGTCCAAAACAAGTTATGAAATCCATGGTGGGCCAGCGCTGTGGCTCACTAGGCTAATCCTCTGCCTGTGGTGCCGGTACCCTGAGTTCTAGTCCCGGTCGGGGCGCCGGATTCTGTCCCAGTTGTCCCTCTTCCAGGCCAGCTCTCTGCTGCGGCCCGGGAGTGCAGTGGAGGATGGCCCAAGTGCTTGGGCCCTGCACCCCATGGGAGACCAGGAGAAGCACCTGGCTCCTGGCTACGGATCAGCGTGGTATGTCAGCCGCAGCGGCCATTGGGGGTGAACCAACAGAAAAAGGAAGACCTTCCTCTCTGTCTCTCTCTCTCACTGTCCACTCTGCCTGTTAAAAAAAAAAAAAATCCATGGTATATCAGAACACACATTTTCTATAAATGGTTTAGAGCTCCCTCATATAGCTCCTTCCTTCCTTCCTTCCTTCCTTCCTTCCTTCCTTCCTTCCTTCCTTTGAAAGTCAGAATTACAGAGGGAGAAACAGACAGAGAGATCTTCCATCTCCTGGTTCACTCCATAAATGGCCTCAACAGCCAGCGCTGGGCTGGTTCAAAGCCAGGAAACAGGAGCTTCCGGGTGTCCTTCACGGGTGCAGGGGTCCAAGGACTTGGGCCATCTTCCACTGCTTTCCTGGGTGCACTAGCAGGAAGCTGTATCAGAAGCAGAGCAGCTGGGACACAAACTGGAGTCCCAGGCAGCAGGTTTACTTGCTATGCCATAATGCTGGCCCCTACAGTCCTTTGATGCTTGCACATCTGATATTCCATGTAAACTTTAAATCTCAGGGTTCAACACAGTACTTCACAAAGAATGAGTATTCTATAAATGTTCATTGAATGAATGAACACATTAGTTTAAAAACAGGGGCAGGCATTTTTGCAGCAACTGAGACACTGCTTGAGAAAAATTAGGTCCTAGCACATTCTGGACAGAAACCTCATTTTTTAACTTATTCATTAAAAAGCTAAACCTTTTGGTGGGTGTTTGGCACAGCAATTAGGACCCCACTTGGGACACCTCCATCCCATATGGGAACACCTGGGTGTGAGTCCAAGCTCTGCTCCCAATTTCAGTTTCCTGTTACTGCACACCCTGAAGGCGCTGGTGATGTCTCCACCCACATTGGAGACCTGCATCAGGTCCACAGCTCCCAGCTGCAGTCTGTCCCAGCCCCGGTTGTCACAGGCATTTGGAGAGTGTACAACAGATGAGAGCTCTAGTTAGATAAATAATTTATAAATAAATATGTGTGTGTGTGTGTGTGTATTCGTGCCCTTTCTACCAATACAAATTATTTTTAAGAGGCTTGGGATAAATCATTGAAAATATAAAGCAAAATAGTTGTTTTTCTTATTCCAAATAAAATTAGAAAATAAGTTGGAAGAACTTTTGAGACAAGGACAATAATTATTTTCAGAATCATCAATTCTCTTACGGTTTTCCCATTGACAATACCAAGGATCTTTAACTTACAACATTACTGTATAAGTCTTTTCTTATGTGAAGAAAAAGTAAGTTGTCTGGTAGTCTCAATAGGAAGGAAGGATTAAACTCACTCAGCATTTAAAATGACACGCTGTTAGTACCATTTAGTACTAACAGCGACTGTTCTATAATTACACAAAGCAGCTCTGCCAATAAGAACATGTTATAAAGGCTTGTGTTTCTGTAAGGGAACTGGGAGAAGGAAATAAAGTGATAAAAATCTTCAAAGGAAGTTCTAACTGCTTGTTACTCTGTTTAACTGACAGAAAAGACTGGGGCTCAGAAAAACTTTGACAACCTGCTTAAGACCTTGAACCTGCCCCACTGACGAGCCTGCAGTCTTCAACACCTCTGACGCTGTGGCATCTGACTACCTTGTCCGTTCACCTTTTCCACCACCCTTGGGCAAAATGCAAAGCTGGCAGCAAGCAGCAGAGAATGCAAAGGTGGACACCCTGGCATCCCAAATGGAAATGCTTATTCTAGTTATTGTTGTTCACCCTTGACCATGCACTCGGGTATCAATTCGCTAAAATTAGAAGAGGAATTATTATAACATCTTCATCCGTTTGATTAAAATAAATGAGCACGAAATGTACAATTTTGTCTTTTCAGCCTAAAATGGTTGCTAGAGACTAGAAGTGCTTCTGACTTACATTGGCCAGGATTTGGAATGACCCTATAATCTCATTGAAGGGATATCAATAATCAGGGAATTGATGATTGCCACATACACAAACAAATGCTTCTTCGTAATCACCTGTTTTTAACTAAACACCAGAGCAAACTAAGCTGATCTATGTCTCATGTCTTTATTGATGTGGAGCCCTACCTGTTCATATTTGCCTGATTTGAGCAAAAAACAGCCACAACTCCAGAGTGAGAAACTTGTCCTGTAAAGAAGCAGATAGGAAATGCTTTCGCTTTTATAAATGACTTTGCTGTGCAGTTCTCTATTATATATTAAATGGCTCCTCTGATTTGAAGAACTTTCAAGCTGAGCGCTCAAGCCTGCAGTACTGCCCACTATAAACAGGCATTTGACAGAATGAAAAAACTCATTTCATCTTCTCTTTAATCTGTATGCTTCCTCCACTCCCCCTTTCCATTTGCAACATAGAATGGACTTTCCACTATCAGTCTTAGCTCCTCAATAAGGCAGTCCTGTTTCCAAGGCAATTCGGTGCATTATAAACGAGAGGAAATGAAAATGCTTGCCACCCACTGATTAACTGCCTGTCAATATATTTAGATCAGCTTAATATTTCCCCCAGAATTCAGAAATATTGGAAATATCCTAGAGCAAAGCTCCACACCTGAATCCCTCAAGAGAAGCGGGAGAAACACCTTTCCATCAATTCTTCCAGATTCATAAGGCAAAGCCAACCCTAATTCAAGCTAATAAAAACGTTGCAAGCGTCTGGGAAGCTGGAAGGCTAGCAAACTCCGCCACGCTTGGTTTTTAAAGCTGCAGAAAACTTGAAGAACTTAGTGGCCTAACAAACCACCTGCCATCGGGACTGATGTGTTGATGTCCTTGAAAATGCATTTTGTGATGACACAGAGAGCTTCTGCACTTGAGTAACTGTAGCTATGCTTCCTCCCAGCTTTGTCAAGGAAATTTTTTATGCTCAAACACTGCCTGGATCAATAGCAACTCAATATCATTCATGATTAGTGCAATGGTGCTCCTTCCCTTTTCTGAGACTGATCCAGATGAGAAGGTTGGTTTAACCCTATGCATACCTAACAGGGACTAAACAGAAATTTATGATGAAAATTCAGGCTCGTCTCCTGACGGTGTTCATGCAACTGTTTCCTCCCTCACTGCTCCTCTGCTGATTTCCTGTAACGGTTAAACGGGCCATGTCTCTCGAGGCTCCATTCATATCCTTTTACCTGTGGCTCGTGACTCTACCTTGAGCTATTTTTAAATAGTTGACCTGATAGATGACCTGAGCCATCTCATGTTTCATCTATCCTTGTAAAAAAAAAAGAAAGAAAGAAAACTTTTCTATGCATTTAGCCATCCTATTGTTTTCTTCTTCCTCTTCAGAGGAATGTTCCCTCCTTTCAGGAACTGAATCCAGTCTGACTCCAGGGCCCTTTGCAGAGTCCCCCTGACTTGATCCTTCAGTTTTGACCTCATTCTCTTTCTCCTTTCTTCTGGACCAGATCCATGCCAATTCCCCAGCTCCCAATCCTAGCCTTTACCTGGAACTCATTCAACATCACTATTTTATCACCCCTTGGATTCTCTTCTGACATTCATTCCACTTTTGCTGACAGCAAAAACTGGAACTTTTTTTCACTTAAATATAAAAAACACACATTAAATAGATTTACCACTCAGTGAAGCCAGTGTCATGATTTAAAAGTACACCAAAAAATGGCTAAATATATTTAAGAAAATTGATCGTATGCTCGAAATACATTTCTGTGGCCAACATTGATCACAAACACCTTTGTGTATCAATGAAAGGAAACCACTATCCTTAAAAAGCTTGTGTTTCATCTGAATTATTAACTAAATTTCTGGTATTGGTTGTTTAAGTTAAGTATTCAATTTTCCTCTATTTCAGCGATGCTACAAGGAAGACCTTTTTGCCTTTATCTTTGCACACCTGTATGACTGTAACCTTAGAGTACATCCTTGAAGAACCCCCCCCCCCCGGAAATGTTTTGAAAGAATAGTCTAACACATGTGAGTGACACTACTTGTCTATCAAACCAGTACCTGAACACTTCATCACAGCAGTGTGGTCACCATTATTTCAACAAAAATGCTTTTTGAAAACGCACTATGATATTTTACTTATAAGATACATTTTCATCCTGGTTTCTACCATTCTTGATGTCTACACATGATTTGGTAACATCTATTCCTTGCTTTTCAAAGCTCTCTCTTCCCATAACCACGTCCATGACATCACACACAATCACAACTTTACCTCTATCATTCTCCCTCTGCTTTTCTGCCCACTTTTCTTTCTTCTTCCACAGAAATATAAGTCCTCATTCCCCTCCTCAGATTCTATTTTCTCACTTTATCCTCCTGAAATTGGTGGTTTCACCCACTGGGTTATAGTTGTCACCTCTGCTTAAATTTTTCTCAAATCTGTATCTTCAACCCAGCCTCTCCCTAAATTTCCTGATTCCTCCAAGATATGTTTATCACTTACCCAGATACCAAAAAAAAATTAACAAATTTATATTCACGCTCTATTTCTGCTCCCATAACTTCTCAACTTACTGACTTCCTGCTAATGTCTCCACCTTCACAAATTGGAAACTTCAGCTTAAGCTTATATTTCTCATATTTCTGCCAAAAAGCAATTGTCAAGCATTATTGGTTCTACCTGAGCACAGTATATTTCAGGAAGCCTTTTGGGCAGAGTGCTAGTGGCTACTTCCCACCCTCCTCCGGTGCCTTTAGCAATGGAAGGAAAAGCAAACGTGTGTGCTACACTTGCCTGGCAGTGATGGACTGCGGCAGCCCCAGAAGAGCTATGGAAAACATGAGGCCTTCTGAATTTTCAGCTTCCAGATGAAAGGCACAGAAAGAATGATAGCACAAGTATGGGGCCCCAGAAAGCAACTGTGTTATGGTTTGTCATTTTGATGTTGGTTTTTGCCTTTCTGTCAAAGTCAGGGAAACAAAGAGAACCCCCCTTCTGAGAAGAGCAGCAGCAGTGACACTAACCCACTGTGGGCAATGACAGAATGAAGGCGGCTGACAGTGACGGTGGGGAATATGACAGCAGCACTGGCACAGGTAGCAGCGATGCTCGTCAGAGAGCAGAGTGAACTGTGCAGGGGGCAGCAAAGAATTGGCCATCTCCTTGGCAAAGGCAGGGTGGTGGTCAAGGGGCAGTATAGGGAAACTCTACTCAACAATGAGGTTCATAAGAGAGCACATAGTCCCAGCACACCAGCCCAGAGTCCTTGGGGTAGCAATCCACCCACCCTGGGAGATCCCTAAGTCATAGGCAGCACACATTTCTAGCTCCTGAGAGCCCCCAGTGGCTGCAAAGATGATGGCGAAAGGATGATAAAAGGTAAGAACATCGGAAGTGTCACAGCATTTCCAGATCATACAGTGAGACTTCCTTCAAAGTAGAAGCCAATGAAGATGTTGAAATGCAAAACAATACTTCAATGAGATCGATAAGGCACACTGTCATTACAAGGAAGTCACTGGGTTTTAGTGTTCACATATAAAGCAGGGCAGGTTTGAGATGCACCAACATATGCTACTCTTTGCATTCAACTGACTTGGTGTAAGAATATTCTGTAGGCTCCACTTTTGTGAAAATGGCTTTTTCTTGACAAATCCTTTAATAAATATTCAGGAGATGGAGTTCATTGACAATCCCCCCAGATGTGAAGCTAATTAGCTGCAGATACCCAAGCTTAGCACTCAGCTCTCTCACACCAAAAAGGATTACTTTAAAGGTGTTTGTTTTGAATGTAAAAGATAAACTGGAAAGAAGTATGGATTAAGACCTCAGAATTGTCCTCTCAAAGGGTTCTCTTCTTTTTATCAGATGACAAAGGAGATAAATAGGAAAAAAATCAAACTATTTGGGAGGTGATGGAAGGAGTCCTTGAGGAATCAAGTATCTTTCACTGTTTTATAATACCGTCAGCATTTTAAGCTGTTAATTTTCCCCCCAAAGATTTTAAATAAGCTCAGCAAAAACCTAGAAGTCTAAAAACTTAGGGAAAAGATTACTTTTCCCAAAGAAGGATTTCATTGCACTTTCTCGACATTACTTCCCTGTTGTGTATTATTTGGATGTAAAACCTGGTCTCTTAAGGCGCTAGACTGTATGGTTGCAGGTTTGCATTGCTGCCCACACTTAATTTTCAACATAAACTCCTCAAAGAACGGTCATAATATTCAAGATGGTATTGCAGTGGGGAAAAAACACCATGTATGTGTGATGCCAATTTGTCTCACAACCACGCTGTTTAAAATAACAGGTGCTATAATTCATTGATTGACACTATGGCCTCTCCCACATCCCCAGGAAGACAGCATCCATGGAATCCAAGGGAAGCAAGGCCACGCTATAAAATGTATGTTCTTTCCTTGCTTTTAAAGATGAAATTCAGAAATAATTAGCCTGTCTTCACTTTAGTCTTCTCACACGAGAACGTTTCTTATTATAGACTCTGAGCTGAACCCCAAAGAGACTAAAAGTCCTCTAAAATCAAGTTATGCCGTGTGAGTTGAAGGAGGTGAAGCTGGAAGAAGCCAGTGGGAGGGCATGTCTTACTAATGCTGACACTTGCTTTTCCCCCTGATTTTTAATATTTGTATTTATATAAAAAGAACATGCAGAGCAGGTTTTATGCTTTCCATAGGTGCAGTTCTAAGACGACAACCACACTTCCCTCACTCCTCTGCCCCCCACAACCCCCCTCCATCCCTTCTCTTTTCATCAGTTTTGCAAAGTTGTAATTCTAATCCACTGTATCCAGAGGCTTAGTTTGCCACTAATCATAAGATTCAGCAAGTTAAAAGTAGGAAGACCATAGATCCACAGGACTATCAATAAATAAGGGCTTAAAATGACAATCATATACCAAAATGACCATTTCATTCCTATATATTTTTAGTAATCTATATTAACTGCCACATATCAGAGAAAACATGGTATTTGTTATTTGGAGACTGGCTTATTTCACTAAGCCTAGTGGTTTCCAGTTGCATCCATCTTGTTGCAAATGACAGGACTTCATTCTTTTCTAAGGCTGAGTAGCATTCCGTTGTGTATATATACCAAATGATCTTTATCCAGTCATCAGTTGATGGACATCTGGGTTGATCCCATATCACAGCTACTGTGATTGAGCTGCAATAAATATGGGATTACAAGTAACTCTTTCATATGCTGAATTCATTTCATTTGGGTAAACTCCCAGGAGAGGGATGGCTGGGTCACAAAGTAGATCTATTTTCAGATCTCTGCAGATTCCCCACACTGGATTCTACAATGGTTATACTAGCTTCACTCCCACCATGAGTGGATTAGGGTACCTTTTTACCCACATCCTCAAAAGCATTGATTTTTATTTTTTTTTATTTTTGCATGATAGCCATCCTAACTGGGGTGAGGTGATAACTCATTATGGTTTTTATTTACATCTCCCTGATGGCTAGTGATCCTTAGCGTTTATTTCATGTGTCTGTTAGTCATGTGTTTTTCATCCCTTGAAAGTTACCTCATTTGCTGTGGCATAGTGGGTAAAGCTGCCACCTGCAGTGCTGGCATCCCATATGGGCGCCAGTTCTAGCTCCAGCTGCCCACTTCTGATCCAGCTCTCTGCTACTGCCTGGAAAAGTAGTAGAGAATGGCCCAAGTCTTTGGGCCCCTGCACCCATGAAGGAAACCTGGAGGAAGCTCCTGGCTCCTGACTTCAGATTGGCACAGCTCCAACTGTTGTGGCCATCTGGGGAGTGAACCAGCAGACAGAAGACTCCCTCCCTCCCTTCCTCCCTCTACCCTCTCCCTGCCTCTACATTTCTATAATCTGACTTTGAAATAAATAAATAAATATTAAAAAAGAAATTAGGAAGTTGCTAGGTCATGTCCTTTGCCCATTTCTAAACTGGATTATTTGTTTTGTTGTTGTTGCGTTCTTGAGCTCTTTATATATCCTGGATATTAATCCTTTATCAGTTGTGTAGTTTGCAAATATTTTCTTCCATTCTGTCAGTTGCCTCTTCACTTTGTTAATTATTTCCTTTGCAGGCAGAAGATTCTTAGCTTGATATAATCCCACTTGTCTATTTTTATCTATATTTCCTGTGCTTCTGGGGTCTTTTCCAATAATCCTTTACCTATGCCAATATCTTGAAGAGCTTCATCAATGTTTTCCTTAGTACTTTGAAGGTATCATGTCATAGATTTAGATCTATAAGGTAGGGGTCTTGTTTCATACTTCTCATGTGTGGATACAATTTTCACAGCATCATTTGCTGAAGAGACTATCCTCTCTT